TAAGAGCAATTTCCCTACACTCTCTAAGTAGTTCATGAACGCTAACAAGGACTCGCAATGTATAATTCAAGAGTGACATGCATTTGTCGCTTTCGGAATGGGTTTCATGGGCGAAGGCTTTTCTTCAACGGTCTAACTTGAGTAAGCCATGGTAACGAAATTTGTTGCAAGTCCATGCCATAACGAGGGGGAAAGCGTGACCTTCTCTCTCCCATCAAATTGGGGAGGTAATTCGAATCCCGTTTCTTCATGAATTTCCCCTGTGTAATCCCCTTACTGCTCGTGTCTCTATCGCCTACACTCTCGGGCCTCCAAGGGAATCGACAATGGCTTGTATGAGTTAAACTCGAACTCTGGTTAAGAGCTTGGTTTCAGAACCTGACCGTCCGATTGGATTCAACAGTTTCCAGGAAAAACCTCCCAACTCTTCCGATTCAGACATGGGTATCTCTGTTCGAAAGCACAATTGAGAAGAGAAAAATATAGTATAACATTTTTCGAATAGATAGCTCTTGAAAACTGCCAAACTTCTTTGAATCAAATGGATAGGAACCAAGTGAGACAACTTCGCAAATTTTGCTCTTTTCCATACCGAATCGACTTGATAAGTCCATCAGGATACCATCAAGAAACGGGATCAACAAAGCACGTCGATAATATTCCTCTGAGCATGCCGATGGAGCATTGAAACGCTTGGTTTGTTGAGAAGTCCCAGGTAGCTTCACGACAATCCCAAGAAGTTCAGCCTTTTCTGTAAGAAAGCGTCCAATGTAAAATGAGAAATCCTGCATATACAGTAGATCGAATGCATTGTCACTGGCTCAGATCCTCACCTGCAGCTTCTAAAAAGATTTTCCAGAAAGCAGTCTCCGCCTCTCGACGCCACGTTCCCAATGTTGCTCTCAATGTGTGGAGTTGCTCAAACACAGAGACTAAATCCATGTCCTCCGCTTGAATGCTCCTGGCAATGGCCTGGGTGATGGTCAAGACGTCAGCTAGAGTGTAGAGGGCAATTATGAAGTCGAATTTTTCTAGTGAGTTGATCATGGAGAATGCCGAATTCGCTGAAGCAAAATCTCTCCACATGGTGATGTCTGAT